ACGCTAGCCCGCTAGCATGACGTTGCATGCAAAAGCCGCATTGGCGCAGGTCTCTGTCGGAACAAACAGCACCCAGCATCCATCTGATGATCCATGCGGCTGACGAACATGGAATGCTGCGGTCCTGCATGTGAAGCAGTGAATACCAAAACTCTGGCAGCTCCAATCGACACAAAAAGCATCCCATTCCAAGTACAAAACCTGGTAGGAAGGGTCAAGCACTTGCGCGATAAAAACGTCCCGTTTCCGGCTCCAGTTGTAGCATGATCAAGCCACCCCATCCACGAGGGATCGGAGCCCTTCGGTCACGAATGAACTGACTTATCTGTAAATGATCCCAACCGCTATGAACTGTCTGCTAGTACAAGTATCCTGCCACCCAAGAATTTCGTTTCGACATGTCTTTCTTGTTGTGGACCATTCCCCCAAACTCGGGCAAACTTTGCGAACAAACTCTTTTCTACGTGCTATGATGCTACGCGCTGCATAGCACGGTGCAAGTGTCAGGGTCTTATCTGACATCCCCTCCACGGTGGTTGCAACCTGCAACAGCCTGCCATTTCGCACTTGTCCTGGTGCCACGCCCTGAAAAACAAAGAGGGGCGTAATGCCAGCCCTTAGCCGCCGAGCTTCAACATGACATGTTGCAATGACCTACCTCACAAATTTGATCATGAATCATGTATGACTCGTTCGATTTGCGCATGCAAAACTGGAAGACGATAATCATAATAATAATCGAGCCGAATCGGCCAAAGAACACTTGGAGAATGATTGGCTTTGGGTGTGTGTGCACAAGTACCAAAAGAAATCAACGGAGAGAGTCCAGTATTTTAAGCCTCTGTAGTCCTGCACCCATTTGACTCATGATGAATCTGTGAGTCACAGCCACTCTTTGAACGCATCCAGCTCTTTGTCAACGAAGCCGAACATCCCTGGCCGCAGGGTGCCGCAGGTTGGCCTCTTGAGATGACCACGAAAAATCCTAGGAAGGTGCCCTGAAACACTTGTTTTAAAGAGTCAGGAAATCAACTGGGACAATAGGGACTCGGGATGCATAGCATTTATTGCGCAAAAGCATAGATCCCAGTTGAGGAGTACATTGGATGCTGCTTCCTCCTATGACAAGTTGTTTTTTGTCTATTTCGATCTGTTTCAGGATTCTGTCTTCTATGTTCTGTGAGAATTGGCGTCCTCTCGCTCCTCTACAGGTCTTGGCGTATATATAAATGACATTGGACCCAACCACCTGAAGCCTGAAACCTGATGTCTTGGCTCACAGGTCATGTCCTGCGTGGGGCCTCTCTAGCCGGTCCAAACCACCAACTGGTCGAATCCACTGCGCCACACTCCGGTCGCGCCTGGTGGGATGCCACCCAAAGCATCGGCGAAGGGGTCCTTGAGTGCTTGGATGGAGCGAAGCCAAAAGACCGCGTCCACGCCCACGTGGACCCCTCGAAGCCTCAGGTTCGCACCAGATCGTCACGATGATGGGTGACCCAATTGGAGCGACGCACCGTAGCGTTGAAAATTCGACGCACCGATGCATCTGCCGTCTACGGGTACGTATATGGAACGAGGACCAAAATAAAACTGTTTGAGTTGTGGACTCGGCATATCTCGAGCCTTAGTTATATACATGCCTCTTTACAGGGCATTCCATGATCCTCCCGTTTTTCCCGAAGCCACGCCGAACCCGTTTCCGAGACCGGGCCGCTCGCTGAGCTTGCCGCTGTACACCAGGCCTTGGTCCTGCGTGGGAAAAAAGGATGTCAACATGAATAGACCATAAGCGCGACTGGAGATTCAAATACCTATAGCATAGCAATACCCATAGCATTTCGTAGCGTCCATCCAGTGCTGGGTTCTGCTTCCTTCCCATCGCAGTCCAGTGCTTGGCATGAAACTCATGAAAAAAAACCGGCCGCATCTTGAATCTTCATGCTGCTTCATCTCCTGCAAATGGGTCTGGAGATGTCTGACTCTCATGGCGCCGTTTTTGCCACCTCAAAGCACCTCGCACCCGTAAGCAATCGCCCACGCGCCCCGCTGCGCAGTCTCGGCCCTCGCGGCGGGAATCCGCGCGGAAGCTGATCCCAAAGAAGCGGCGCAAGCGTCGGAGCGGCGGATCTGATCTTTGACCACGAAACAATGCTCAGCCACAGCTGCAGAACAAAGGGGTAGTCATCGTGAAACATATGGCAACACATCCGAAGAACACGGGTCGAACTCATGTCTCCATAAGTATTTCAAGGGGTTGAGCTTTACATCTGTGAACAGTAAATGATAGTAGATGAGATGATCGACATCACTGCTTGACTGCCTGGCCAGTTTCAACATCCTGTAATTATATGGGTGTGTATTGAAATAGGGCCCTACTCCTGGAAGATGGAACATAGACTTGGATAGACTTGGGTTGTTGACACATGCACTTCGAAAAGCGTCACGAAGTAGATGGGAGTCTGTTCGATCCACTGGGGGGGCCCCATTGGGCATGGCTTGAATGAACATCCTCCAACCGGAGAACGGGTGCTGTAGGAAAATGCTGGTGAATGGATGCCACAGGAAGCGTGACGCTTGCGTGACGCTTGCTTCAAGCCGTCACATGGGAGCTGCTGTGAGCAATGATCTGTGCGTACAGCACTAGCCGATTTGGAGACCGAGAGCCGGCCTTAAAATATGACTAGCAGCACTAGCAGCACTAGCATACACACTGCTTCTTGAGTTCATCTGCGTCAACAAATCTCCGAATCTTCCTGGTTTTCAGCTGCTTGTCATGGGGAGTGGGAGAGGTTGGCGCTTGGCACGGCTCGGTTCACTGGGAGAACCTGCGGAGAAGGATTCGATACAAACCCACCACTTCAGCCACCAACCCCCCACTGGTCCTGGGAACCAACCCACCACTGGTCCCCAGATCTCAGAGCTTCCCGGCTCTTTCCGCCGTGCAGCCTCTGCCTGGCACGGCGGAGGCTGTGGGTTCATGCTGATATTGAATTGCTCTTTGACACCCCTCCTGACGAATTATATAAAAAGTCCAGGATTTCCAGGGTCAGCTTGCTAGAGGCAGAGCTAAACATAACATTTGATAAAACATCTCAAAACGCATCAAAACGCTACACTCTGATTCACTAACATGGAAGTGGAACATGGTCCCGTGGAAGACTTTACTCTCTCGGATCCTCCAGAATGCTCGGAGCAACTCGGAACGTGGTGGGTCAACGGCTTGATGGCTGAATATGGAATACAAATAAACACACCCAAGTACTGAGTTGCTCAAGTCGAGCAACATCCTCCGCCACCCCTGAGTATTCATTGATACAGTATATATTTTTTTGCAATGATCATTTTGTTGAGATCATTTCGAGATGTTTCAAGATACTGATCCGTATCTTCACCCGCCGCCCCCCAGCGGCGTCTTGGATGTGATCTTGATACCCACCGGAGCATAAAGCAATCTGAAGCGGCACCTTCCTCTCCTCAAGCTCTTCACTGGAAGCCTTGGCTTTTTTTCCTCAGCTGTGCAAGCCCACAAGCTGGATCAAACTGCGATAGCCCACACTCTCCCTGCAATAATCATGGAAGTGGACAGTGGGCAACCCCCTCTTGCTTTAGGAACATAGTCTTCCTACGGGGCCATTGTCCACTTCCATGACTGGAGAGGGAGTAGCTGTTGCCACCCCAGCAACACTGGTTCGCACAGTGAAACAGCTGCAGGCGCTCGGACGACCGAGGGCAACAGCACATCAACAGGCATTCAAGGACGCCAACAGCCCAGCAGGCTGGCCTATTGACCTCCCAAAATGCTCCAGACTCCAGCACCGGGGTGCATCAACGACCATCCACTTGATAATATGTTCCTTTTGAAGATATCACGACACATTTCACGATATACATTGGCAAAGCAATAATCACCCGCCCACGTTCCGCGCATGAATCCGCCACATCCACATCGCTAAGGCTCTGCTTCTTGATGAGAATCGGTTCATCCGGATCGGCCTCGCTTTGTTGAAATTCAACGGCTGATCCAAACCTATATGTTGTCATCAAGAGTTCCTGCTTAGGTGATCCGAATGGCATACCTTCCAGGAACATCACCATATGTTGCATAAAGTGTGCTATCTCAAAGGTCCTCTGAAAAGCCTGGATTCCTGGATGTCGGATTTTAGTAGGGAGAACCCCACCAAACACAACCAAATGGGTTTTGGTCTATTCCCCTTCCGGGGGGGTCGAACTGGGAGGTCTCTCTAAAGATAGTACCAGTCCATATAGGGCTGCATACACGGGACTCTTCCATCAGAACACATATATCAGAACTCCCAGTTTTACAATGCCTTTCCCGCACGGTGCTCAGATCATCTCAGATTGCCTTGACCCGGGCCATGGCCTTCACCTCCTTTGGAGCGGGTGAATCCTCACCTTTGGCCTTGGAGGACTTCTTTTTGGCTTTCCTCAGCTTGGGAGGAAAGGGTGAGGATGGGATGGATGGGCGAAGGAGGCAATATATAACTTCTACTTCAGGGCTGCCATAGTTTTCAACATAATTTGGGGCTTTGATCCGGTCCTGTGCCCCACCCAACAATTCTTTCCCAATCCTCCAGCCTCCAGCTCTGTAATCGTCTGTAACCTGTACAGCCTTTAGGATGTGTCACCCAAGCCCTTCAACATGGCAGCCTGGCAAGAAGCATTGCCCAAACAAAGAAATTAAGCGTCGCCATTCGCCATGAGCACATACCAACACTCTGGTGTGCTTGCAGGCAGCCACATGGGCAGGTCTGTTGCCGCAACCCTTTCCATGATTGTCGATGTGCAATACATCACAAGCAAACAACTGACAAGATGAACACCAGAATGCTGTCCCGATAAACTGATGACAGCACATAAACCTCTGCTATGCTTGTTGCATTCTTTTTTTGCTATCGCCAACCCCATCATCCCGCACCGTAGGGTTTGCCTCCTGTCTCGAGCCTTCCTTCCATCGCTCATCGCTCACCTCCTTTTTTCCCCCGCGCCCGAACTCGGTGTCGGGTCATCGCCGCGGTCGACGGGTCATCGCCGCGTCATGCAGCCGCTACGGTCCCGCGTCCGGTGCGCGGAAGACGGCCAAGGTCCGAGCGATGTAGTCGATCTCGCAGGCCTGGCGCACCAGCTCTGTCGCTGTGGCATCGAGGCGAAAGCCGGTAGAGTCCTGGACGAAGGCCACGAAGTCCTCGCGCGAGAGGCAATTCCTCAGGCAGATCGACGCTGGCGCCGAGGTCATGGGAAAACGAGAGGCACCTTTTGGGTGCCACAAGGATCCAAAACCATTTATATAGTGAAGTACTATGAGCGCTTTGAATATGTGGCTATGGGCTTCATGTTGTTCCAGGCCAGTTCTCTCTCAGCTGAAAACGTGCCAACAAACTCCCAAAAAACAACAAGGTCGCACAAAAGGCTCCAAACCTCATCAAACCTCTGTGCCTTCCCAGTGGCACATGGCCGATGCCTTCCCAGTCATCGGACCAGGACATCACCAAACCCTTGGTCGCATGACGCTTCAAGTTGGCCAGCAGCGTGGGCGCGAAGGGCTTGGGCACGTGCTCGCCCACTTCCAGGCAAAGAATCCTCGGCTTTCCCAACATCAAAGCTCCTTTCGGTAGGGGGCGGCTCCAAAATCTTGGAACTATGATTTGATGATATTTAATGTGTTAGTGTAAAAACAAAATGATGTCAATATGTATCCACATAATTTCGCATCAAAAGAATCTGTCTCCTTCAAAAGGATTGTCTGATTTTTGGAAGGCCTCCCTACGTGTGACAATCTAACAACGGAATGTCCACTTTCGCAAGCAAGAATCCAATCAAAGGTCCTCCACAGGGTCATCTCCTCGACCAGATTCACCTCAACTTTGCGCTAATCAACGATGAGTCATTCCATCGCCACTCCCGGCACAAGTCCCAAACCAAACGAACCCATAAGTTTCATAAGGCAGAAAAGCGGATTGGGCATCTTCTGGATCTACTCAGCGCCCCAAAAACCGCCACAAAAGGGTTTGTCCGGCCGTTCCCCAACCGCACCTCTTGAACCAGGCCGTCCGTGAGTTCCGCAGCTTGGTGGGTGCCATCAAAGGCGAAGGCCTCCAGCAAGCCCGTCTCATTAAGCCATTGGCTGTAGTGGCCACCCCCAGCTCCGAAGTCACCAATGGCCAAGGGCTCTTCCTCGCCAAATCGGGCGAAAGAAAAGGTGAAGAAAAGACACCCAAACGGCTGCGTGGGGAGCCTACACCGACCACCTGTTCTTTTTCGAAGAAGCGTCTTGCCAGCTGGAAGAACTGGGAGAGTGTAAGAACTGGAAGAGTCAACTGGAAGTAGGGGACTGACCTCAAACATACGTTTGAATATGTTGAATAGTAAATTACTGAAGTAGATCAGCTTCTAGATCAGGTTGCCAAACATGCCGCAGCAGCCCACGCAGCAAGCCCTTGTCGATCGCCCACTGCTTAAAGACCTTTCGACGCATGAACTCGTAAGTGACAAAGGAGCCATGCTCATCCTGGTGGTGAAGTCGAATTGGACCTGCCGTCATGGAGCTCACCTCACCTTCGAGCGTCAGCAATGCCTCATAAACCTGCCGGGTGTAATTGTGCATCCAATCTTGCAGCTTTGTCAGCCAATAAGTTCCCGCCACAAAGCTCTCTTCCACGGTGCCGGCACTCCCCTGGAAGGCTGGATCCCTGTAGAAGCTGAAGGCAAAGCTGTGCCACTGTAGTGCCAGCAAGTCTACTTGCAACTCCTTCCAAGCTTCAATGCCTACCAGTAGCACATCTCGCACCAGAGCCTTCATGCAGGGATGCTGATCTACGGAAAGTGCCATGACACGGAAGAAGTACGTCTGGACCTGAGAGAAACGTGTCGTGAAGTGTCGTTCCATTTCTAAAACGACACGGCTCAACCTCCAAACCAAAAGAAAAGATTGGTGTAGCACCCGGCTCAGGTCTGGACCTTCTGCAGCACCCTCTCTTGTGAGGTGGTGAGGAGCCAAACCCAGGTGCTTTCTTGCACATGCCGCAGCAGCTCAATGAAGATTCCCGCCAAGCCCATGATGTCGCTGTGCAGCTTGGTGACAGCATCACGGAGGACCACCGTTTCATTCATCAAGTAGAAGAGCCGCTGATCGCAATCCATCTCCTTATATAGATTTGCTTAAGGAAGCTGGATAACTATACAAGATTCACCCAGAAGGGAATTGAACCCTACGGACAAATATGAAACACATCATCTTAAAGCAACACCAGTTCTCTGAGACATCTTGGAACTCATTGAGGTGGTAGAGAGCTTCCGGGGACTTCTGGTCATGAATGTTCAACTCGGCCGAGAGGAAGTCTAGCAACTGATTGGGATGGACCTCCTCCAACTTCAAGTTTGGGGCAGTCAGGCCGACGTTTATCAGCAGCCCCCAAGTGAGCACGTAGAATCTGCCTCTCGAGGGGCACATTGGGATGCTGCGCGCTGCAGCCCTTCAAAGTTTCGCCTTCAATTTGAGCCAAATCCGCTGCAAAAGGAATTAGTATAATACGTATTATACGTATTATATCCCTAGGGATGCAAGTACCTTGTCAAAAGGTACTTGGACTCTCAAAACATACATAACAGTGCCTCCAATCACCTTCTGAGAAGGTACGTGGATCCCTAGGGTATAAGCAGTCCAACAGGTGCGCAGTCCAGGGTCCAAAATAACAAACAAGTCCACCTTTGGGCCTATGTCCACCTTTGGGCCTTTGGAGGACACATGCCTTTAAAGAGCTTTCACGGAAGACAGAGTCCGTGTAGGTGCAAAATCACTACACTCCCCGGAACTAACATGGAAGTGGAGAATGGCACCGGTAAGGAAGACAGAGTACGTATGCTCGAATTTCCCAATTCTCTAACTAATTTTTTAGCTTTATTTAGTCCATGAGCTGGACTTGGGCCCTATCGGAACGTATCGGAACAGGCCACTACGTGTGACGCTTTGGAGTCAAGCACTGCTCATGATCAAGTCTCTTGGCAGCTGCGGCCTTTCTTGGGCAAATGCCTCAGCCAGGGGACAGTCTCAAAGAAGTCGCGGATCTCATGATGAAACAGGATCGATTTGCCCCCAAAGTTTAACAAACCGTAACAAACCAGTGGTTGGATCTAGTGCTGCTGGTGGGCATGCTGGAAGTTCCAACAGAAAACAATAACTGTGCATGGCCATCATGAGCCTGGTGATTTCAATGTTTGCATGCTGATGTTCAATGTTTGCAGCCACTCATGCGTGCGCGAGTGTGCCACCCCCACTCCGAAGGCATGTTCTGCCGATAAACGGCTCGGAAACAAGAATGACCGATCGCGCAAATAAGCGAGGCGGTTAAAACGATGTGATTTGTTGAGCTCATGGATTGAAGAAGTAGAGGGCACAATCACACACAATCCCCCAAGATGGTTGAAATGGAGCCCCCTTCTAAAAACCATCATTGGGCCACACACACATGCAGCGTCCCACACCTTTCTGAAACCGGTGAGCTAGTGGTCTCGTGTTCGCCAGGCTCCAACTACGTCTACGACCAGACCGTCGACCTGTAGAGGCTCCGAAAGCTGCACCCAGACCGGTAAGCTGCACCGTCCATGCTAAGAGGCACTAGTTCCGAGGACATGGCAGCTGCATGACCTAATCCGTTTCGGTCAAGGCGCAGCAAAACGCCAGTGGCAAAAGTACCTCAGAACGCGCCAAGATTGGTAGAATGGGCTAATAACTTACATATTCTCACTCGGCTTCAGGTGGTCCAGGACGTCATTTTCGGCATGCGAACCATGCGGCAAGGGTGGTTCAATTCTCTATGCGGACTCACTGCCTCAGTGTCCCTGGATTCCACCTGTTTCCACCTGTTTCCTCCGTTTGGTGGGATATTTAAAATCAAATCCCCCAAAGCAGCTGCACAGCTGATCCACGTCTCCTGAATTCTGCTCATCTCCCTATGAAAGCCCCACATCTGGATGATCTGACATCCTGGAGGGTGCTGCAATCGATGATTCAAGCTTCGAAGAAAGGATAGGAACCTTTTAAAAAGGCCTGGGGCCCTTTTTGAGAACTGTCACTTCTGAAAACCCTCCGGGCATCAAAAAAGAGTCTGGATCTCGAGAGATTGTCCGGACTCAGGTGCCATTATAGGCTTCCAAAGTAGTCTTGCGAACCTGTCAGGTTGAGTTGATGTTTGCTGTTCAGCCGAACTCAGTTTCTCACCTTTGAAGGACCATGAAGGACCACATGCAAAAGGCCCAATTCAGAAGACCGACTTGGGTCGCTGAAAAGAACCGGCCTATGGGACCGTTCCTTGCACGTTCACCAGCGAAGGTTCGGACCAAAGCACTTGCTGCAAGCGACGTTCGCAGGGGGATCAATCCAACGTTTTCTGGCGTTGGTTTCACCAGCACAGTGGTTGAATCCGTACTTTTTTGGGGTGCCCCATCAACTGGTCCAGCAATATTCCGACAGTCGTCTGACAACAGCCGATCGGCTCGGCAAAAGCTATGACGTGTGATGCAAAAACAGCCGAAAACAAGTACCTTTCCAGCAATACAGTCTAGGATGTGTGACTATCCATGATGAAACCAAAGGTATCACATCCAAATACATGGTCAATTCCCTCATCTCCTAGCCCGTGCTCATCCAAGAATGGGTGCAATTCAAGTTGAACACTCTAAGAATTTAGGAGGCTCAGGAGAGAAGTTCGCCTCACTGAACCTTAGATCAAACCTTGGGAGTATCTAGTCAATCTAGTCCACAGCTGGAGACTTCCTTTGCACCGGCTCGTTCCAATGAAGCCCTCGGAGCTGATGCCAGGCTGCCACGGCCGCCAAAGCAGCCAAGGCAGCCAACATGGAGGGATTCAAAGACCCCTGGCGGTTTGGTCAAGGACGCTTGGACGGAGGCAGAACCAAACCGCGCCGCGAGATCCTGAGGTGGCCTCCAGAATTCTTCAGGAACAAATATCTGCGGCCCAAGAACGGTCAATGCTGAGTTGCTTTTCAGGTTAGGTCCCAGCGGTTAGGTCCCAGCTTCGAATTCAGTGTGCCTGGGGTGCTGTAAGTGGGGTGCCGCAGGTGGTTTTGAATATCTCCTCATTGGAATTCAGGATCAGATCAGGATCGCAAGTGTCATTGCCTATATATGGATCGTGGACTTGTCAATGGGCCTCTGCCAACCCTTCCACATGATTTTTGTTCGCGCGGACCAAGCCCGGAAGCGAAACAGCTACAGGATGCTAAAGGAAACAATAGCACAAATGCCCTCTATGCCAGCAACTTGGTTTGCCTTCTCGCTTGAAACATGTCAATGGCACCTACAGTATGCTGTACTTGTCTTCTCATGACGAAACAGGGCTGAAAGATTGGTTGCTCCGGCAGAGTGCCACTGGTGCCGAACTCCATGCAGTGAAGGTCGAGGGCTCACTGGGCGGACCTCACAAAAGTCCCCTCCTGGGCCTAAGCTACTCTTTTGGCTGCACTTGCCCAAGGACATCATGAAAACACGTCTCGCGGTAGGACGGACGGCTGTTGGGAGCCAACATGTTTTCGTGAGACTGTCGAGAATGCCCAGCAACCCATCCGTTGAGGAAACCTCAGCACTTTCGGTCTCCACGGATGTGGTGAGGAACCCTTCCATTCGCAAACTTGTGGCGACATGAGGTGTTCAGGAGCACGAAATGCTCGATTTGTCACAGTTCACTGCCTTAGCACAGTCGAACACAAAAACTTGGGACGCACAAGCAACGAACATTGTGGCCAGACTAGACCGGATTCCATAACCCAGCTTGCTGGTGACGTCATTTCTTGAGAGAATAGTGGACAATGGGCCGCCACTTCCCCCTTCAGACATCCACCGAGCCGGGTCCAGGTCACCTTTTCCGGGTCCAGGTCGGCCCATTGTGTGGCGTTGTTTCAAGACGACCAAAGGTCAGGAACAAACACTCATCAAGCGTGCGTTTATGATTCCATGCATCCAAGATTCGTGGTTCCAATCAAGAACTGTTTGGTATAGAAGACCGATGGGAACGCACCGTGCAGTTGGATTCGTGGTTCGCAGGTTTCGGATCTAAACAACGAAGCAACGTGGGCCGCCCAAATGTTACCATGCATGTCCATCCATGACTAACCCAGTACATTGGACCCACGACTTGCGCAACAATGATCTGGGCGCCCAAAAATACGTGCCATGTCGGGCAGTGACCACGGGTTTGGAGGGTGAACATGGGTGAACCAAACATTTGGAAAGTAAACAAAGCGCAAGCATTGAGCTACGAGTTGTAAGCCAGGTCGAGGACCAGCGCACTCCAAGCTCCTGCAAAACGCAAGACCATGGGCACCTTTGCGTGTGTACTGCAAGTGGCCACACCATCCTGCTTGTCATCTTTCTTCACCTCACGCTTGGCCCTGACGCGAGGGGAAACGATCTGCAAGAAAAAGGAGGGGTGCTGTCAACTGCGCCAAAGCTTAGCCTCAGCTTCCATCCAGTAATTTGACGTGTCAAGTCTTCATCAAAAAACTCTGCACCACCGAAAAAACCAAGGCAACCGACTGAGAATAATATGCAAAGTCCTTTGCCCTACCCAACGTATGGATTCATGAAGGTGGTCCTGAAATACTCAACGAACAAAACACCACAGCCACGGTGATTGGCCAAGCTGTGTTCGATTCGGATATATACATTAATTAATGGTGGGGGCCACGTATCATGTATCATGATATTTTATGAATGTTGTCCTAGGACAAAGCTCTCAACAACAAACCGGTGTCAATCGCAGTTGCTGTGTCTGTTTTCTTCTTTATTCTCTAATTCAGGCATTCCTCGTCAGGTCTGATTCACCAAAATATCGAAACCCTAACCATCCCTAACCTAACAATATATAACCCTGCGTGGCCTCCACCGCTTGAAGAGCAAGTATGCCAGCGCCAGCAGCAAAAGGCGCACGACTTGCAAGCGCCAAGGACCTCAACCACTGGGAGTTTAAGCATGACCCAGAGGCACCGGGCACCCCAAACCACTACAGCCTTTAGATCCATTGAATCACCAACACCACCATATCAACGGGACAAAGTCGGACATTGTCCAATGCGAGATGCAAATTGAAATTAATTAAGGTCGGTCCACACAAACATTGTCCCAACATTATCCTTCAAATTTAGCCTTGCACCCAAACGTTCTTGCTTTCAAACATCTTAGAAAAACAATGAAGAACACCCTGGGTCAGGGTGCACAGGGGCCATGCACAAATCCATGCCAATGGAAACAGCATCTAAACGATCTAAAGAATCTAGGCACATCGTGCCCTGTCTAAAGGACGGCACCCTGCCTTCAAACCTATTAAAGCATTAAGATGCATTAAGTCATATTGGTCAGGGTTCGAGTGGAATGTTCTTAGCAACGGTGTGCTTCAACTCTCACATTGCACAACAAAGAACACCTCCAAAGAATGGAGGTACGTGTTGCCGCTAAAACAGCTTCCCACGGAAGGGCCCAAATGCTTTTACAACTGTAAGGCTGTATTTTGGACAACCTTCAAACAGCACAAACATCGGAGCCCTACAAAGCAGCTTCACATCGCCCCCCTGAAAGCTTGCCAACTCACACGACAAGTACAAATTAATGACACTCCTGGTTTGCGGACGTAGGCAAATGGTTCCACCGCTTCGAACAATTAGTTGAGAGTAGTTATGAGACTTCAGAGCCCCCAATCCAGGATCATCCAGCTTCATCCACGTGATCCGCAATGTATCACCATATTGATAAGATTTGATAAGTCTGCCTCTTCTGTCCGGCGAACTTTCTTGGAACACTCTTTCATTACACAAGTCCTCCAACGGAAACAGGGACCCATGACACTGGTTGGTGATGGTTGGTGGTTGAAACTCATTTGACGAAGTCATGGGGTTCAATCATCCCAAGTAAAGCTTGAAAAACAAGAAGATCCTGGAACATCTAAAGCCACCACTCGTTTTTTCGTGCTGCGCACCGCACGGCCCAGGTTTCAATCGCGCCTTTGGGGCTCCATCGCAGGGTGGGGAGATGTGCACCAGGCAGCGCCGTGTGAGTGCGCAGCTGGAAGTCCGGACTGTAGGCCTTGCGGATCACGAAGTCTGAGGATCGCGAAGTCATGGGCACCAGTCGAGCGACGGCTTCGGAAGACAGCAGGGTGGGGCTGCTAGATGCTGGTAATTAGGCTGGTAGATGCTGTATGTGCAGATGCTGGAATTACTGACATATTTCCGAAGCGACCTAAAGAACGGGCCCCTGCCTTTCAATTGATGGAAGGGACCTGGGCATCATGATTATCATGACATCTCGCACACTTGCCTGCAAGAGAGGACGTACACCCATCCATCCGTGCTTTTTCACCAAACCCGGCGCCGATACGCCCGATGACCTCCTTCCAGGTCTTTCTCCAGGTCTCCTTGACAACTTCAATGAATGCTTCCATGGACGCCTGAGGCAAAAATCAATCGCAACAAGGAGCAAATCAACTGACTCCTCATTTTGGGCCTCAAGGAAGAACTTGACATGACAAAAGAAAGCTGGTTTGGTGAAACGAACTTGGACACTTCCCTTTGCCAGTTGGGATAGTGTTGCATTGTGGGCATGAAAAGTGCAATCCTTAAGTGGAACCATGTGACACTCACTCAACGATAGTGTAAATTGTTATACAATAATGTTTCGCCGAACAAACGCTCCGGGCTGCTTGTGCTCAAATTCACACTGAACCCGCTGTTTCGATATGGGGTGGGGCAGTCACCAAGTAGAAAGAACGTTCACTCAAGAAAATACACACGACTCTTGCCAACTGGCAAAGTTTTCAAGTATGCAAGGTCACCTCACCAAAAAGGCACTGGCAACAACCGCCTTCAATTTGCAACGTTTCGAACGCAATGCCTGCAGCACGACCTAATTTGTTACCAGCGATTGCCTTGTGTGTGGTGGTTGTGGCCGCTTGACGGTTCTCAGCTCTCCCACTATATATCGGTAGATAGTGGCGTGCAAGCACAGAGCGGATGACGAAGAAATACGAAGAAGGCCTCCATCACTCGATGCTACGGCAGTCTTATTCCTTTGAAGTCCTTCTGTCGGAGGACGGATGTTCCAAGCAAACACCAACGACGCCCTGACTGTCTTTTGGATAGAAAGGCTCCATGACCTGCTAGGCCGCTGGACGCAGGAAAACCCGCTGCATGGACAACCCGCACCGCTGCAGCTGGTGGAGACCTCCACGAGTTCGTGAACCAAGTCTTTGAGATGATATCTGTGAGAGCTCTGTGATATCTGCAAGTTGCACTGCAAGTTGCATCTGTCTTCTTGTACCTTTCCGAAAATGCTCAACGCTGAGCACTAGCTCAATGAGGAACACCACCAGCCGTGAGCAAATCGGCCTGAACACCCGCACCACACAAAGACAGGAACCCTAGGCCGTGAACGAAACCAATCGTTAGAAGGAAGTGAAGCCCTTCTTGCAGTTGGCGGCCGATGATCCAATGAAATCCAATGCACGTTTCCTTTGCCTCTCTTGCCGTTTCAGCCGCGTTCGTCCGATCGCACGATCGGCCCCACGGGACGGCCAAGCGGCAAAGGTGCCAGGGTCAATGACCCGGGACACCGAGCTCACGCAGAGGGTCCCAAAGTTCACAGCCATCTCCTTGGTCACGGATTTTGTTCTCAGGTTCGGTACGACTGGACCCGACGTTGCACCCGACTTTCACGTCCAATCACCGTTACCTCATAGGGTGGCCGTGGATCCAGTCTGGGTACTTTATGGACAATCACACAACAACCACGTCTGGCGAAATCGTGCCAAAAAAGAGCGTTCGAAAGAGCGTTCGAATGTGTGGCGCTTTCTGCTGTGCTGCTGAGCGCGAACCGACCGTCCCGGCCGTTCGGCCGGCAAGGACGGCTTGGTCCTGCGTTCGACCGCTCGATTCGAACCAGCGCCGCAAATGCCAAGGACGTTTGGCAGCTGGGCCCTCTTCAAATCCTCACCTACTGGGCATGCTTCATTCTACCAAGTGGCCCTCTCGGCAGTGACGCACTCCTTGTTGGTGGTAATGACCACCTGGTGGTGATGGTACAAGTATATCGTGCATTAGATGCACAATAACACATTACTGTAGGACAAACCGGCATTGATGTGCACCGACCTTCCATGGCAAACACACCGACCTTTCATGGATGTTTTTGCTGGGTCACCTCTTCGGATGTGAACTTGAGTCGAAGTTGCTGTAGAAATCTCCATGACAAATAGAACCATGTCTAAACTCGCATCCTGAAATCACACGGGTGTCTGCCACCATCTGAAATACTCCCAACCCATGCACCCCCCCTTCACCCGCCCTCACGCGACCCGCCCCGGGTGGTCCGCAGATCCGTCTCTTTCGTCGGCGGATCATGCCTGCACCGGCCATTGGAGCTCATAGGCTGCTCCAAGGGCGCCCAGCTTAAGTGGCAAGCCCTCCGGAAGCAAAGACCGCGTGCCTTCAGGATAGAGGACCTCACCGTGGACTCCACAAGGAGCGAGAGTGAACTGACTGCTATTGGGCAGTGAACAAGGATGAGATGAGTGAACAACGATGAGTGAACAAGGATGAGTCTGACTGCTCGTCGACGACTCGACGCGTCGACGGTGTCGGCCCCCGTCAAACACCATCTGCCAAAGTCAATGGCTGGTCCAAAAGCTTCTCTTTAGAATCTTGGAGGCCATTGCTACTAATAGTGACAAGAAGCTATTATTTGGAGGCCATTGCTATTAGGTTGGAGGCCATCGCTAGTAACAAGAAGCTACTAGGTGGAGGCCATCGCCACTAGAAACAAAGAAAAAGAAAAGAAAGAAAGGTCTACAGTGATGCCTATTCCTATTCAATTGAATGGAGTACAGTGCCTCCCCGATAAGAATGGCGGCCAAGCGTTTTTCGTTTGCAGTGTCTATTTGGAACCCCCTACAGCCCTACCGACCGAACACCAGGTGACTGAGACTGGGGCAAGGCAATCAACGAGACTATCCATGTGACATGTGACACGTGATGACGAAACAAAGACCGGATGACCACCACTGAGACAACATCATACGGCCACCTCTGCACTCTTTGCTTGCTTAACGGCCACTCCTTTGCCTGCAAAGCCCTTGATTCCTGAGCAGCACGCAGGGTGAGTGCTTTGTACCCACAAAACAAGTATGCCGCAGGATTGATGATGTCCCGCAGTTTTCTCACAAGACATCAAAGTGACAATCGAATCAAAACTGACTGACTGATATTGAATGTCACTCACCAGCACAACCCGGCCAACTTAGAAGAAGGAGCATGGCAGCTGCAGAAGTTTTCTCGTCTCTTGTGAATGTCCACACGACCGCAAACATGTAGAGTTATAGACATGACTGGGCCTATAACCAACCATCCAGAGAAAGCGTCGCTCTGAGAGAAAGTGCTTCATCCATGCCACAGCGCCCTCTTTGTGCTTCGAACCTCGCCTCAGGGTCTGTCAGCCCATTTGCGCGCGTCAACCCAAGCTATGAATATCTACTAATGTTACTGTGATACCGATAATGAGCTGAAGCAAGGGAAATAAGGAAACACACTGAATGTTGAAAGGAACACATGAGAGAACATGAGAGAACAACAAAAAATCCTCCAATGCCTTGAGTCCTATGCAGTGTCTATATAACGAGCACCGTAGTATGCTAGCTATAGTTGGGCGTCCTATGTCCCAACCAGCGACTCAGTGGCCTCGGGTTGACTGCCACCCCAGGGGCGAGAAGAACCACAGCCACCCTTCATTGGAGCCCCAAAGTGCTGTCCAAGGGATGGCAGCTGCGACCATGGCCCTGCTGATGAAGGAGGGTCCTCCAGCGCACGCCGCACACCCCACCCATGTAGTCGATCGAACGGTTCGCGAGGATCGACTCAGGAGGTGATTCGTTCGCTCGACTCATGGGGGTGCACCCCCTTGGCAGGACACCACATGCGCAAGCGCACAACACAAGCGGGGTCGCATACATCTGCACCAATGCCATGAACAACGGAAAAGAGGTGTTTGTGAAAACGCATGGCTATAGATACTAAATATCACCGTTGGAATTAAGTGGGTAGGTGGGGGGCGGGTAGCGATTTTATAGTGCTACAATGCTGGGACCAAGCTCCCCCCAAAAAATGATCGCTGTTTGACTCTATAAAATTGCGATTGATATAGGAAAAGAGTCTAAGTACTGGAGCCACACATAAAAATGCCCCTTCCAGGAAGGCATCGATTCACCTGTTGGAAGGACCCTATAAATTTGAACTGAAAACAAACGTTTTGATGGACAGGCACAGGGGCTGTGATTGTAGAGTGTCCAAAGGTGGTCCCCAAGGCCCCTGAATTGCAGTCCCTGAGATGCACAATAACGCTAACAAGAGTCACATAACATCGCGTGAGGTACCAAGAGTCACATCGCGAACCAGCTTAGACACCTCTATAGAATCGATCTTCTACAAAAAAGTTATTTCCTATAAAAGCGAGAAACTTCCACTTTGCCACTTAGAAGCCTCCATGCTAACCAAGAAACATCATGTTTTTAAACAATCGCTTTTCAGGGGTCCCAACCCCGGCGCGATTCTGTGGAGGAAATTCCAATCCCTATTACTAAATCTAATCTATAATGCCTAAAAGTCATGCCTTTAGTCTCTTCATCTGCTCCTTCTTTGCTTTCTGCTGATCAAACTTCCCTAAAACCGAAGTCGGAGCCGCGATGCCGTGACGGCGTCCACAACCCCCGCGGCACCCGCCGTCCAGCCAGCAAGGCGGCATCAGTCCAGAAGTCGCCCCAGCTCCTACGAAGCACTCGTGCGGGTGCACCGTGGGGTGCAAGATGAACGGTGCAAAGAGAAGATCAAGCGGACCATGCAAAATGTTGGCGAGCTATATCAAACGTTCATTTGCCACCATGCAACAATCACCAAAGTTTGGCCTCCAGCTTTATGGTCTTTATAGGTTACTCCCGCACCCAGAATTCCAGTCGAACAGGACAGGCCCCCGACGCAAGTTCGCACACACGTTCTCCGTCCCACAGGAACGTGTCAAAACGTCCCGGACCACGGTGTCCTGTGATTGCTGAGGTAGACCACGGGGCGTCCGTTGTCCATGACCTGTCAACACTCGGGTGTGAAACTGCCAGTGTAGTTAAAGTGTCTCTCATTCCCGGTGCGCGCGACTGTGAGTATGCTGCAAGTCAATTCCTTGTACCAGCATCTTCTCTCCTTTCATGCGACATGTCTCCTCGGTGGGTGGGGGTTCCGCCGATCCATGGGCCCCATGGCGCACAAACCTTCGCACTCTCGGCTGTAACAACTGAATGTAGACTCTTGATTACTAAACCCCCCTTTGAAGAGGATGTTCAATTCAAATGGGGGGATTGATCAAGAGTCTACATTAACTGATTGCTGAGGCACCTGGACATCTGCTTCCTATTGGCCAGTTTAATATTTGAGTCACTGTGAGTCACGGGAAATGGCGAATGTATGCTTCAGCACAGGTACGATCAGGTACTCCAATACGACGACTCTACAGGATGCCGACCAGTTACCACGATAATCAAACATGTTAGCGCGTTGTGTGCTTCACAATGCCGCAACCACTCAGTGCCTGTGGGTCATTAGCAGTCAAATGCAATGCCCTGCAAAGTGCCTTCTTAGTCTTTACATGTCTTTACTACCAAGAAATATGTCCACCCGTGGTCGACCTCGGGTTGATCTTCATACAATGACGAAATGCCACCAACTCCAAGTCAGGTGAGAACGCATACACTTATAGTGATCCCCAAATAAATAGAAGCATACAGAAACGGTGTCCAATACATTCTTGGTGAGCTACCACTTAAGTCCTGCATGTTTGCGCATGAATCTAGCACCCGTACGGTGCCGTGTCACATCGCATCAGTGTGCCACTCCGGATGACGATTCTCCTCTACAAACAGGTGGTTTCCACTTCCATGTTGGTGAGTCAGAGGCTATTGGAGATCCTTCCCTTGCATGTCTTCGCCGATCCCAAATCCGATCCTTCGATCCGTTGGCCGGAGAACCGAGGGTTCCCACCTGTTGTGCTGCAAGGGCAGTACCAAACTTCACCTGCAAAATCTGCAGCATGCGCGCAGCCACCTGGATGAGAGGGCTGGACAGGTGGGGGTAGGACAAATGGGTCTGGGCCTTTGAGAGCCAAGCTGCTTGATTTACTTTCGAGTCTCTTGAGGCTCAACATAGCATCATTAACAACCATGATTTCAAAATGATTGATTAACAGTACAATCCAGTACATATATACATACATAAATCAAATATATTATATATATATATGTTTTTTCCAACAATCAGACTTGCTAAAGGATATGACATGTCCGTGCAGGCCCTGTTCGGAGATCGGAATTCGACCCTCAACTCATCTCAAATCGACCCAAGCCAAACCCTGCGTACGGCCATGATGCCCAGCCACCCATCCATGGGAGACGTTAAATCCCAAAAGTTGCAGCAAGATGGCGAGGAAGCATGACCCCTGATGCGCTGTCGGACGAGTCCGAAACGTCACAAGCGAGCCCCTGACTTCTTTTTTGTCCGTCGTCACTCACTCCGGGTGGTTCACTTGGCTTCAGGGGTATGTGGGGGCAAGGGCTACCCACACTGCCCTACTTGATTTGTATACTGAATGGCAATGAGCTGCTATCGCACCATGAGTCACCCTGAGGTTTTGATATGCCACAAACCTGACACCATGATGAAACCAGGTGAGGCCAAGAAAGTGGTAATTACTCGCCTTCATACACCGAAGCCAAACTATATATATTTAAATAATATATCTTCCAATAGTTCAATGGATCATGGGTGCCGGGACTCTTGTTTTCTCAGCCAACCACTTGACCATTGACATCGCTGGATCACACGGTGCCATCGCATCAGCCCTTTTTGTTAGTCTGCCTTTTCGTGCAAATGCTGGCGGCCTGACCCTGTTGACCCGGATGAAGCCCAGCAGGGTTTTGCAAAAGAAGCACCCTACAAGCCTACAAGTAAAGCCAGTCTGACTCGACACACGAAAAGGTAGGGGATGACTCTTGAAGGTGTGACCCTGGTCCCCCAGGTCCCTACATGGACGTGGGTTCCTACCGGCGTCCGCGCCTGTACGATGCCCAGGTAGAGGAAGAATGCGGCTTTAGACGATGCCATTTGATCAGCGGCAACAGTGGTGCACGTGCGATCACGTGCCGTTGCGTGGGTCTATGTCGTCCTGTCTGTGTGTGTTGTGATGGAGGGTGCTCGAAGGTGCTCGACCAAAGCGAGCCTTCGAGCCTTCACATGTGTGTTGGCAGTTTATGTTGCTCTGGCGTTCTGCCCGCACAATCAATCATGTTCACTCTTTGGTTTGATAAACATTCACCATCATGCTCTCCTCTCCGCAAACAACTGAAGGAAACGCATGTAGCCACTCAAGACAGTGTTCTTTTTCCCGTGATTTGCCCATAGCAAAAAATATCATATGACCTCCCAGGAGTTTTTTCAAAAGTCCTTTGATTAACTAACTTCTATCCAGCGCATTCTGTGCGCTTCGACATCTGCATGAACCCGCGGCATCCCAGCAACGCCCAGAAGACTCTCCGCGAACACATGCCGATGCCGATGCAATCGCAATCCGAAAAGTAAGATAAAGTAAGTGTGCGTTCTGCCTCTCCATGCATGTAATGTAAAGATTGGATTGATATGGTCTATATTTTGGGGGAGCCCTTGTACCTAGGCAACTTCTTGTGACCTCTCTGACCAGCACCATGTACCTCACACTCCCCTCCCGTCTTGTCATGGGATCCCAAGATGGGTGGACGACCATGGATGGCAAAGGTCCCCGGAAGAAGACAAAGGCATCAATCTACGCTACCAGGTCCATTCGTGTCAATACAAACCTGCCTGCCAACCATATCTCGGATTTGTATCTCACTGCATTTCCCCCGAAAATAATCATCTGGGATTGCTCAAAAGCTATCATTCTTCGAAGAAGTTGCATTCTTCAGCCAGGGTTAACAGGGGTGTTCCGTGCTCTGTGCTCACAACCTCCACTCCACGCCACTCCACGAGGTGCAACGAACCCCACGAAACCGAACACGCCTCGCCTCCGCCATGAGGTCATTGAAGCGCCCCATGGCCATTGGCCCCCCGCCGCGGGGTGTTGACACCAGGCGGCCCGGGACGTTTGACACGTGCCGCACGCGTCGGCTGGAGCCAAAAAGAGCAGGAGGAAGAACTGAGGGAGAAACTCCATGGGGAGTTGGGAAAGCATGAACATGCATGTATGAATATTTATGATAAAGGCATGTTAAGGCAGGTTTTTTGCGGCAAAGCAAGGATGTTTGGGATCTAGGTGTTTGTGTGAAGCTGTGTCTTGCAGGCTTGAAAAGAGTTCAGGTGCTTGGGGTGGCTGAGGTCAGTTGCAAAACACGTGTGACGTAGTTTATCAAAAACAAACCATTACGACTTCATATCCGTAGACTCTTCATGATTCTCCCCTACCGGCAAAACTGGGGGCATATGCCAGTACATCGCTGACCCTTCCAACATTGAGAACCGAAACGCCGAAACGGTTGGACGTGGCTCCATCGGTCACCACCTCTCTCCCTCTGCAAGATATAGCTGACCCACAGCTGTCCCAAAGAGACAGGCCCTCTAATTCTAAGGGCCACCACCTGCAAGCTTTGTTGGACTTTGCAAATCTTAGGTCATCAGGTTGGTCAACGTCAGTGAACCACATCCGTGGTTTAAAGAACCAAGCTGTCACCAAAGGCCAGCTCGGCCTCCGATTCCTAATGCAAACTCTTGAGCAATAACCCCCGCCATTGAACAAAGACACCTCTTCATATGGGAAGTTTAATTCATGTATTGTTCTGTCTCTACATGACTCGTCCTCCTCGCGATTCTTCGTGGAGGTCCGCCCCAAGAATCGCCGACTGGGGAGCGACGCCGGGGCCGGATTTCTGGAGTTCGGCCCCTTCCTTGGTCAAGTAGTAGATCAAAGCCACCTTCCGATACCTCGGTCAAACACGCAACCCACCGAGGCCCGACGAGTGGGCCATAGTACTGGGCCCCTCTCCATCGCAACTCGAGGCCCAGCCGGGCTATTTGGACTGTAAAGGACACGAGGACAAAAAAAACATCTTTTCAAGTATGTTAATGAATGTATGTGTTCAAATCTGTTATATTGTAGAATTTTGGAACACACACACGCACACAAATGAAGCCCCAACATGGCCTTAGTGGTAAAGACTCTACATCACACATTCACATGGCGTTTGTGGTCCCATCTGAGAGGGAAGTTCCAAGAGCCGGGACACCAAATCCACTGCGAATCTCTGCAGGGCGCAGCTGGACGCAAAGCATTCAACAATCCTCAGAATGTGTCTCTGCAACCTTCACCATTTCCATGACTTTACTTCTGGGTCGATTTGCAAACGACCCCATCATGACCCTGAAAAATATTCTGAACCCCCAAAATCCTAAGACAAGTTCTTTCAAGCCAGGCCCGGCGCTTTCCTCTCGCCAGGTGACACGGTCGTGCCCTCTGGAAACCGCTCACTCGCCTCCTCCGGCCGCACCACCTGCGGTGACAGCAGGGCCCGCTTAGGCTGCACCGAAAAAGAAGGTCGAAAAGGAGTGAAACAGCGTGTTGGCTTGTTGATACATGAATATATTTCAGAATCAGTCAGTGCATATCTATATAACTATCTCTCTCTCTCTCTCTCCTCTCTCTCTCTCTCTCTCTCCCTCTCTCTCTTTCTCTGTGTCAACAATAAGTCAATAAGTAATAATGTATATGATTACATGCGTATGTATTATGTATATATATATAATTATATATATAAGATGATTGAAGACAATGCTGTTGATGGTCAGGATGCGTCAATGACATCATACAGTGAAGGCCGTCAAGACTCTCAAGACTCCCAATCTGGCCGCTTGTGCCGCTTCTTCGATTCTTAGCAGAGCGGGTGTTGTGCACCTATCTGAACAGTGCAATTTGGCCAGAAACGCGTGGTCAATGACGTCGTTTGAGAATTTTGAGATCACCATATTGAGGTTCGGCAGGTTCAGCCGAACTTTCTCTGCGGCTGCGTATTTTAAATCGGCACGTTTTTTTGAGGTGTTCATAGGTTTTCTTATTCTATACACTATATATATATCGTTTCCTAATGTTTGGGAATTGTGATGTATCGCTTCTTGTGGATCTCTTGTCCCCGAAAACCTTGCCAGGGTGTGTGTTCTGCGTCCCCTAGTAACACAAGCCTAAAGCCTTCGTGAGCGAATCGTGAATCGCCCAACACTTGCAAACCATGTGGTCCTGTTGACTGTTGGCTGCTTGTCGCACAGAACTTGAACCAAACAATCGAACAAATGGATGCAACACGTTTTTCCAGCAGGCAAAGTGAGTGCCCAATCATAGTCCGAATCCATTACGAGTGGATGTTCTCGTTTCCAACGATCTGTCTATCAAAGCAAACCCTTCGATCTCACCGGTCTTCTCACCGGTGATTCCCGTTTCGACTCAAGGGACCCATCTCAGGGCGTCGTTGTGAAGAGTGATCTTGCCGCCCGTCTCGTATTTGGCGCCTGAGGACAAGCACAGGCCCCACAGGTACAGGTACACAATAGAAAGGTGGTTTTGTTGCCCTGGCCCTGGAGCCAAGGGGTCCTGGATTCAGGTAAACACCGAAACCATCCGAAACCTTTACGATCTCTTCAGTGTTCTTTCAATAATTCCCCGCATAATAACAGTTACATGCACAAACATAAGATTTGCATGTCTTCACAGGTCTGCATTGCGATCTTGCTCTTGTCAGTCCAACTCCTTGCTCTTGTCAGTCCAACTCCCTGAGTCTCTTTGCAGTTGGTCAGGACTTTTCACCGGGCAGATTCAACGGTCGGCACTGTGAGACCACTTGCACCTTTGGCCTGCGGCCTGGGTCTTCTTGCATCACGTCAAACCCTAGCTGAGCCAACTTCCAACTTCACATAACTTCACCAAACAAGCAGTTGAATCTAACTGGTTAAAACATGTAAAAACTGTTGGACTTCAACCAAGCAGGCTCATAACTAGGCAACTTCAGTGTACTTCAACCAAGCAGTTAAGAGGTAAAGAACTGTTGGATCTACTGAAGCCACAGCATGGCGCGCAGGGCGAGACCTGCAAGACTCACACTCGCCATCGGTCCAGTTCCACTCTTCCTCTCCTGCATGCAGTTGGCCCCCCATCTTGGCTGGGTACTCTCGCCAGGTCACCATGGGAATAGCCATGTCTAGATAGAAGTTTGGAGGTCTTCAACCTGAAAGTTGTTGGTCTTGGAAGCTGAAGCCTTGATACCCCCTGTTGATTGCACTCAAAAAGAAAACACCCACAGTGGCATTTGGCGGGAATATGCCAAAGCAAAAGCCTATACAACTCCACACCGTCATGCTGGTTCAAGCTCTCGGTGTTCATCATTCTATCTTTCACCTTGAGAGTTCTACCTCTTGATCTCTTAGTCTTAGTCTTACCGTTCACTTCTGAAAGATAGAATGGACAAATAGACTGGTTCACTTATGTTTTTTTCTATCATATTCACCATTTAGTTATAGCAGAGAAATATCACATTAAATTACATGGTGAATGATAAAGTCCTTCCGGTTCTTGGCATTTCTTATTTGCTGTAGGTCATTGGTAACCGCTGGAAAGGCCTGGAAGGTGAATGACAGTCAAGGGGCCCAAATGGTGGGTGAACGAATGTGAACGGGAAGGACGACAGCAAGAAGACCGAACACAATTAACTACAAACAGCAGGCACAAATCTCTCCTCTCTCTCTCTCTGCAGAGAGAAGCTGCCGATAACAGCTGTCCCACGACACTCAGACTGCACTAACCGGCACTAACCTAAGGCGAACCGAGCGGCTAACCTCCTATCTGACCCACAGGAATGGCGCTCAACATGTGAACGCCGCTTCTCCTTTGTTTGTTCATAACGTGGAGTCATGGAGTCATGGCGCTCAACCTGTGCCCAATGCAGTGAATCCCGCTTGACTTGCCATTACACTATACAATGTAACAGTGAAAGCAATGTAGCAGCGAATTCCTGGAACCAAACGTTGGAGGTGTCCGACACGGTTTCGAGACCAGTTCCAACACGGCACGGACACCGGTACATTGTACCCAAAGATCCTTGGAGAAAGCATCGAAAAGCCTCAGCGAAGACACTCAGCCTGAGGAAAACACTCGATCTACTACTCGTGTCCTGTCGATCTTGCGGCATCTGTTGCGGGTTCATGCCATACATAGCTGGTGGGCCTGGCACATAGCTGCGGGCGAAAAAGTAATCAGTCATGAAATAAACAGGTGTTTACATTATTAGACATGACAGGGAACATAGGCCCTTAGTCAAGAAAATAGGAGCACCTTCACGAACATCTGATTCCCCTAAATGTCTTCGACCTTTCTTTTGTGGGAAGGGGGGGTTCACTGACTGCATTGACAGGTTCCATTGGGTGAGCCCGCATGAGTTCAATGAGTTTCCTCCCATCTCACTTGGATCAAAGGAGACATCGCTGTGACAGCGATGCAAGCATACGGAAGGCACTATAGAATTGATCCAGCGGAGGTGGACATGTGGAACCTGAAAAAGAGAGCAAAACGGATGAAAGAAAAAACACAAACGCCAGAAATTCTGAAAGACATAATGAAAGACTGAACAAAAAGAAAGAAGAAGTGGAGTGGAATTCCATTGCTATTGATGGAACTTGATATGATTTATCCCTCACAGCCAAGGAAAAATCACCTTCTACCTGGGGCACCAGCTTCATCTTTGTTTGACAAAGTGCTCATGGCATGTCCTGTTTCTGTCAGACATGTGGTTGGTCTCAGTGGGGACCCCGAGATCCACCCCAACTGTAAACGGATGCACCAAGAGGCCCTGAAGAGTGGGCCAGGCCTCAGGCTCCACATCTTTAAGCAAAAAACAATATATAATATATGTAATGTATACATTGTGATCTGAACCTAGGTCCAAGCAGGAAAAAAACATAAATGGAAGTTCACCCAGTCATCATCATCTTGAAATTTAGCAACCTCCAAATGAGTCATTTGAATCCAGGCCTTGAGGATATCCCTGGTATCCGTGATATCCTTGTTGTGCGGCCTGTGCCATATACTGTTCCTGAGCTGAGTCTGGACCTCCCAAATGGCAGAAACATGAGGTCCAGGCAGAGCACCTAGAGGTTTCATCTATGTTTCGTTCATGACCTCACTGAAATTCCGGTGCGAAAGGCGCACCGAAGCACCTGGAACAAGGGTCGTCGGACCTAGTCAAGGGTCACCTGCAGGGACAGTGTATAACGGTAGTATATCATAATTACATCATATTACATATAATTATATATAACTATTATAGCTCTGCGACACAACAGAAGGGAACCCCAAACGACCTGCAACAGCATGCAACAGCTTGGTGGTTTTCCGTACAAATGTGTCACCAAACAAAAATAACATATAGAACTCAAAAAAACTGCAAACCTGCAAACTGTGTCCTCCCAGAACTCCCACACGGGGCACTCCCGAGGCTCGGGATGAAAGTCACCATGCCCCAACGTCTGCTGCATAAAGGCCTCGCAAATTCGGAACCGGCTGTCAACTCGCTGTTTCTCTGTGCATAGTGGGAACATGGTGGGCGTTTTTGTGAGCAATGTTGTTGTGTATCTATGTGTATCAGTATGACACATCCGGGGGTTCCACGCTGAAGGCATGCTTCTCCCAATCTGGCACATTCAAAAGCCTCGTATTGGACCCTCCCCTAAGTTGCCCTATCACCCCAAGTCTCAAGGGAATGCAGAATGCATGAAACAACGGGAGTCTTTATCTACATTGCTTGTGCTTGGAGGCGAGGGTGCCGGTTCCACTTCTCTTGCCGAAGAAAACCCAGCAAATGTGCAAGTCTTCCCGCCGTGCCCGCCTCCTGTCGCTGTCTTGTCTCCACCAACTCACGCATGGCGGCCTGCGATGGAAGGGGCCTAAAGGCCCTGAAGGCATATCGGAAAGGCGCGGCGGTGTGTCCCAGGCCGTTTATGGAGACAGGGACACCCTTCCATCTAGTGGTCCCATATGTCCCCAGATCATGTCCCTGTCCCACACTGTCTCCAGGGAGAGAACTTCTGGATCAGTCGTGGTGCCCGATGTTCTCAAACCCTCTTCCAAGCATATGCATGGGACTGCTCGGTGTTTTCGCTTGCAGCCAACAAGGAAGAGAACACCAACGACTGGATGGTTGCCAACCAAAAAACATTCAGCGAACCCAGTTGCCCTGGTCAGGCACCTGCACTTGGAGGAACAGGTTCGAGCTACGAACACGGCCGTTCCCGTTTCACTAGAACCTGTGCTCTAATCACATTGCTTGACCAATCTTGACGCACTGTTATACAAACGTGACGTAACTACTACTACTACTACTACTACTACTGCATTTTGTCAGTTCTCCTACCTGGGGTCATCCTGAGGGCCAAGTAGGACTCAAAAAAATGACGGTCTGCAGATGTCGCCTCTTGACTCTGCGCCTTCTGTGCCAGGCCACTCTGTGCATGATCCAGGTGTCCTTCGAAGTTCACGGAGAAAGGGTCTCTTCACCGATCGATTGGACCGAACTGCCTACGCCGCCGCCCGTCCACAGGGTCCCTCTCGTGACAGGAACCGATCGGCCGTCCACAAGTGAACTGGCCAAGCAAAAGAATTGCCACTGATCGATTTTGCTTTGAAGACATGTTTTTTTTTCAACAGTTCCCCATGTCATTTTAAGGGCTCAAGGGTTTGAGGTCCATGTCAAAGAGATCATGGAGTTCAGCTGCTCGACAGCGGACCCCTCCTGAATAGGAGTTCAGCTGCTTGGTCATGTCATCGGCCAAGGCTGAGATCCTCAGTGGCTCTTCGGACTGGTCTTGGCCTTTGACTGCCCCTCTGTCTCCCTGGCTGCGTTTCTAAAGTCCCACGGAAAAATAGACGCTGATCAAAAGAAGTGCCACCTGTGAACGGAAAAAAGGAGCATTTCCCACACCAATCTGCACTTGGTGCAAACCTAGAAGTGACATCGTGGCTCATGAAGACCCAAACAGGGCAGGAGCATCAAGGTCTTGCAATTAGAACAGCTCATGATGATGTGACTTTTCTACACACTTAGTCTTCTTCATCCTGGCAGAGGGAGGGACACATTTCTACAAATCCCTCCAAGCCTACACACCCAGAACGTTTCAGTTGCAAGGAACTGCTGCAGTTCGTCGGCGGTGATCCAGTTCTCCTTGTCTTCCAAGCCCAACTGCTTCTCGATCCTGAGGGATCGAATGAGGAGAAGCTGTGGCTCTCTTGGAGTCCGAGAGTCAGGCTGTGGCTCTCTTGGAGCCCCCCCAGCTTAGCTGGTTCGAGACCCGTGGCGGTTCGAGAGCCTGGAGAGACCGTTGGGGCCGGAAGGCATCGGTCTCAACGCGAAAAAGACACGTTTAACAAAGGTGGGAACGCGGGAACGCCTGGTTCGTTGTACCCCTTCAAGATCCTTCAAGGCTCTCAGCGCAATTTGCGACGTGAGTGATATGTATGTCATTGT